AAGGTTGGCCGCCCAGGCCACGGGGCCCAGGAGTACCTTACAGGTGGAGGGCTGGCCGTGGGATGAGGAGCCATGGCAGACGCCTCCAGTTTGTTTCCTCATCTCTCCCAGACATCTGTCACCACAGTGGTGAGTCTGGTTATCTTACCAAGGACTGTGACATTCAGGAGAATGCCTGCTGTCACGCGGGAGAGGTGCCACGTTGCCAAGGACTGCAAGGAGCCCAGGAGAGACCAAGAGCAGTGCCGCTGCAACCACGGCAAACCAGGCCTCCTGGCTCGCGGCTGCGACCTCGCGGATGAGCAGAAGTGCTACTCTTGTGGAGAATTTGGACATATTAAAAAAGACCGCACCAAAGCGAAGTGCTACAGGTGCGGCGAGACTGGTCACGTAGCCAGCCACTCCAGCAAAACAAGGGAAGTCAACTGTCACCGCTGGGGCGAGTCAGGGCACCTGGCGCGGGAATGCACGACCCAGGCGACAGCCTAATTCTTTTCCTTTGTCACCCTCCTTTTTCTGGCTGATGATGGTATTATTTTCTCTGAATCCTCTTCACTGGCCAAAGGTTGGCAGATAGAGGCTACTCCCGGGCCAGTGAGCTTTACTTGCTGTGTAAAAGGAGGAAAGGGGTAGGAAAAAAAATGATTTTCTGCATTTAACTACAAAAAAAGTTTATGTTTAGTTTGGTAGAAGTGTTATGTATAATGCCTTGTTAGAGAACCGCCTTTCCACGCCACTGGTGAATAGGGATTGATGAATGGGAAGAGTTGAGTCAGACCAGTAAACCCATTATGGAGTTCTTGAATACGTTCCCATGTGGGAGGTAAAGCCAATTCTGGAAATGTCTATGAACTTCCATAAATAACTTTAATTTTAGCATAGTGATGGCCTTGGATTGTCTGACCTCAGTAGCTATTAAATAACATCAAGTAACACCTGTATCAGGCCCTACGTAGAACATACAGTTGAGTGGGAGTAAATAAAATAAAAAGACTAACATGTGTGTTCATGGCTATGAGAGAGAAATCAGGATAAAAGCTTAAGCAGAGGGACCAGCAGTTGGCGTAATGGCTATGTCGCTGGACTCCCATGTAGTCGACTGCAGTTCAAGTCCCGGACTCAGTGGCTTAAACTCACGCCGGGCATGTGTGTGTGCATGCCCAAGATCCCAAGAGGAGAATGGAGGAGAAGGGATTGCGGCGTGGCCATCCCCCCCGGGGGGTGATTTCTCACTTTCTGTTTCTCTGTCTCTCTCTGTCTTTCTGGCGAACGCACACATACTATAGCAAAAACCTCTCCAAAAAAAAAAGACTAAGCAGAAACAAACACATTTTTTCAAAGACGAAATCTAAAATACAGAGTAACATCGATGCTCAGAGGTAGCAAAATTTGGAGCTATTCAGGAACTAAGGGCATTTTCACAGAAATCAAGATGTTATTTTTGTATATTATATCACTTAGACAACTGCGTTTCATTTGCTGTAATCAGTTTTTTAAAAGTCAGATGGAAAAAGCAACTGAAGTCCTAGAAAATAGAAATGTAATTTTAAACTATTCCAGTAACGCTGGAGGAGGAAGGGGGAAGAAAAGATCCTGATGGGAGCAATGTTTCTTTCTCTCTTGCTCTCTCTCTCATTTGTCTCACTCAGAAAATAATAAACTAATTAAAAAGAAAAAAGTTGACGCCAAGGCCTGAGGTTGCTGGGGTGGGAGGCAGAGGAGGGCAGGTGAAAACCACCCTGTCCCACAGAGATAGCACCATCGAGTTCCCCTAAATGTAGACGCTGTGGTTCCCACCTGCCATGGGACCTGTGAGCCCTGAGGGCTGTGTGGTCATCACCTACCCAGGCCTCTATGTGAGCTGAGGCTCTGCAGAGCTGATTAATGTCACAGGTGGTACACTTGCCCAGGACACACGTGAGTTGCATGGTTTGCATGTGGGAGGTTATGTGTGCACATACTGATATTGTACACACGTGCATGCATGTGTACAGGTGTGAGTCTGTGCATGAGAATAGGTAGGGACCCTGGAGGTCTGGGCTCTCACAGGCTCTCCCTCTGATACTTGCAGACGTGGTCCTGACTGTGGCGAGGGAGCTGTCGCCCCGTGTGACCACAGCATCAGAGACTTATTGTCAGTGGTGACCAGGTCGCCTCATTTATGGGAACTGTAGCACAAGGTAGGGTTGAGGGTCCCGAACCAAAGGAAGAAGTGACCACACCTCACTTATGCATGCACACTGAACACTCACACATATACTTATTCTCTTACACACGTATACTCACACACATATACACATGCACTTGTTCCTATACTCACATATGGCCTCATATACACATTCATGCACACTCACACTCATGTGTACACACACCATTCTCACACACACATACTCCCACGTGTACATTCACACACACATTGTCATTCATGCACTAACACTCATATGTACATTTGGGCCCAACTACATGTACACACTCACATGTGTACTCATACAGGTATGCAAGCACTTATGCACACACACACCCGTGCTAACAAGTGATCTCAAGGGATCTCCAGTGCTCTGGGCAGGCAATGTGTGCACAGGTTGGAATCACAGTCACCACCACCCAGTCCTGCATGGACCCAATGCCAAGTTCCACCTGCCAGCTCATGGGCTCTCACAGGGCTCACGTGCGTTAGAAGCCTTATTCCCATCATGCAGATGAGGACACTGAGGCCCAGAAGAGGCTCAGGACTTGCATCAAGTTCACAGGCCAGGCTCTGTGTGTCTCAGAACTCACCCATGGACATCACCCCAACACAAGGTTTGAACCAGAGTCATTCCCATGTCACTAATGAAGAAACCAAGAGCCGCCTTTTGGCCAGAACCACCATCTTCCAGTAATTCACCAAAATAACGAACACAAAGGGACGATAGATGATCTCTAGGCCTTTTAGAAAACATGGAGTTGTTCCTTTGGCGACATATATGCGAATCTACAAGAAAGGTGATATTGTAGACATTAAGGGAATGGGTACTGTTCAAAAAGGAATGCCCCACAAATGTTACCATGGCAAAACTGGAAGAGTCTACAATGTTACCCAGCATGCTGTTGGCACTGTTGTGAACAAACAAGTTAAGGGCAAGATTCTTGCCAAGAGAATCAATGTGCATATTGAGCATATTAAACATTCTAAGAGCAGAGATAGCTTCCTAAAACGTGTGAAGGACAATGACCAGAAAAAGAAAGAGGCCCAAGAGAAAGGTACCCGGGTTCAACTGAAGCGCCAGCCTGCTCCACCCAGAGAAGGACATTGTGAGAACCAATGGAAAGGAGCCTGAGCTTCTGAACCTATTCCCTATGAATTCACGGCATGATGGGTGTTAAAAATAAACTAATCTGTGGTCTTTAGGAAAAGAAAAAAGAAACCAAGAGCCAAAGAAGCTGAGTAACTCGCCCCAAATCACACAGCCAGTAAATAATGGGGCACTCCCTCCCACCCCTCCGTGGCACAGCACTTGCCAGCTTGGCACTCAGCGGGTGGGTAACTGGAGACTGTGGCGGGCTGAAGCCCTGGGCTGCCCCGCCTCACAGCTCACTAGTTCTTCCCTTTCTTTCAGTTTCCACTCCCCCCCTTTCTCTTCCCAGAATCGTGCACTATGAGATAATCACAACCAAAACCTCCTATAAAGGCCCAGCGACCAGCCATGCCAGACAACTCACTGCCAGCCAGAGGGAGGGTGACACAACCTGGGTTTCACAACGAGGGTCCCCAGCCAGCAGGTCCCTAAGAACCCTGGGGATACTCAAGGATGGCACCCCCTGGCTGGGCAGAGGGAACCTCACACAGCTCTCCGTCCTCCCAGCACACGTATACTATCTCTCACTCTCCCCCACTCCCCACACACTCACACTCACAATGTGTGTACACGTGAGACCCGAACACCAGGGCCACCCCAGGTGGGGTATATAGTAGGGCTCCCCCAACCCAGCTGGCCCCTGCCTCCCTGCCGGCTGTGGGCTCAGCAGCCTATGAGGGTGGGGCAGAGAATTCCAGCAATAGGTTCCCTTTCTGGAACCCTCTGTGCCGTCAGCTCTGAGGGAATCCAGAGCAGCGGCCATTCCTCAGACCCATTGCTTCTCACAGGCCCAGGGCCAGGTCCCACAGGCACCCACTGCCAGCCTGGTGAGAGCTGTAGCTCCTAGGTGGGGCCCCCAGCAGTTCTACAGCTGCTGAGCCAGCACTGCCTCCCGAACACCCCAACCCCACGGCTTCCCCACTGACCTGATGGCACTGACCCAACACATGGCTCTTCCACCTGGTGACCTGCAGGGGCCAGGTGTCCGGGGGCCGAGGGAGGCCATGCAGCTCAGTGGCCCCAGAGAGGGGCCGCGGCCTGCATCTCCCAGGCCTGTGAGGCCTGATGCCCCGGCTGCCCCGTGCGCTGCCTGGCAACTTGTGCTCACTCTTACTGCATCTGGGGCCTGTGGCCGCCAGGGCTTCCTCCCTGCTGGGGACTTCCTGTTGCCGGGTGCCTGGGCAGTCCCAGATAGCCAGCACTTCCTGTCTTCCACCCTGCGGAGTCTTGAAAGCCACCTGGGGCCCAGGGCTGCTCCCCGTCAGCACTATTCAGCCTGCTGAGTTTTAGTGCCCCCTCACCACCGCCACTGCTCCCACCCCCACTTGTGGGCTCTAAGGCAGGGCCAGCTGTGTCCCCTGGGAGGGAGCACCCCACTGGTCCCCCACAGCTGCCTTTGTATACGTGGCTTCTCTCAGCAAACCATGAAGACCCTCCCAGCCTAGGCGTCAGACCCGGCACAGAGCCAGTGCTGACGGCCGCTCAGGGTGCTCACTACCTCACCAGCACACTCCTTCCACCAAGGAGCCCTCCGAGGACATTCTGAGGGCTGTGCCTCTTACACCAGGGACCTGTGGGCTTTGGAGAAGCCACCTCTGTGCCCTTCAACACCAAGGTCTGAGCCTGGTCTCAGGCATTTCTCAGGAACACCCCCCCGCACCCCCTGCCCCACTCCTGCAAGGCTTTTCCGGTCTCAGGCATTTCTCAACAACACCCCCCTGCACCCCCTGCCCCACTCCTGCAAGGCTTTTTCGTGTTCCCTCTCGGGTCAACTCTTGCTTGCTAGAAAACACTTTATGGCTCGAGTGGCAAAGCCTGCTCCTGTCACTCCCCACCCTGGGTCTGTCACTCTCCTTCCTGGGCCTGCTCTGCCCCTACCAAACTTCATTTGCTAACCTGCCCAGGACTATAGCCAGGAAGTAGGGAATAGGACTCCAACCAGGAGATTGGGCACAGCGTCCCCTGCCTCTCCTCCCTGAGCTCAAGTCTATGTCAAAACTTTCCAAAGGAGGATAGGACCCCTGGGAGGAAGCCATTGAAGAAAGGAACCCTCTGGGGCCTGGGGCTAACCCCATGGTAGGATTTGAGGGTGACAGAGGCCGCAGACCACAGGGCCCCTGGGAGTAGCAGGGACCACACCAAGTCTCTAAGGCAGGGCCCCCTGACTCCTCACTCCTACCTCTACCTGGGCCTCTGGCTCCAACCGCTCTGGACCGACACTCCCCATAAATGGCTGCGCGAGTGCATAGCCGTCCTGCAGGCCCGGGTGCCAAAGCATCTGAAGAGGGCAGGTTGCAGCCTGAGGGAATCTCAGTCTCCCCAGTTGTGTCTGCAGCTCCAGATCTGCTGCTAAATCCCCTGCCTCACCTAGGGGCCTGTTTCCACTGCAGGTCACCCGCTATCTCCTAGAGGGTGGGGAGCTTGAACTTTTGTGTCGGGAGCCTCCTTAGGGTAGACCCAGTCACTGTGACCTTCCCCACCCTAAGCCGGCCTCGGTGCCCTCAGGTGGCAAGGACAGACCATGCCTTCAGCAGAAAGCTGGCCACAATGAGTAGTCAGACAGATGGAAAGATGGCAGGCGTTGGGGGAGGTGGGCTAGAGCAGGGTCTCTTCCCATTTTCCTTCCCCTTTGTAGCAGAGTTGAGATAAAACAAGTGAGGAACCCCTGCCAAGAACCAGCCAGGACAAGCCAGTGGGTGGTTCTCGGTTGGAGTGGGAGCATCGAGAGGGTGTCAAGCCCAGAGGTGCTGGATAATGGGAGGCCTCCCAGAGAAGGAGTCCAGGCTTGATGGGGGCAGGGAGGGAGGGAGTTCGCTGGAATTGGGGTGAGGTGAGCAAGTCACAGGCAGGAGAGGGGGTCCTGAGGGTGGGAGGAATCGATAGGCAATGAGGTGGCCAAGGGGGGCTGGAGATACAGATTTGGGGTAAGAACCCACCAGGATAAGAACCAGCAGCTGGGCTGGCCCTGGGGCTCAGTGGTCAAGTGCTATGCAGGAAGCTCAATCCCATATGGCTGACCAGGATTTGAGTCCCTGGCTTGCACGTGAGGCATGCACATATGTGCCCAAAAACATGATGGCGTGGAGAATTATAGGAAAAAGGATCGTAGCATAACCAGGCCCTGTTGGGAAGTGCTTTCTGTCTCGTTTCTCCCTCTTCTTCTCTTTCTCTCTCTCTCTCTGTCTCTCACCCTCTGGCACAACAGAAGAAGAAAAGAAGAACCAGCTCTCTCCAAGACATGTCACCTGTTACTGGACAGACAAATGAAGGATGGAGGGGCCAGAGGTGGAGGCAGGAGCAAGATACCTCCTGCCCTTGCCCCACACTTGTAAAAGCAGCAGAGGTGCAGAGCTGGGAGTGAGCAGAGGGCTATGCTCACCCTGACCCCTGCCCAGGCCCCCCAGGCCCGTGCCCAGTGCTATGATGCTACAGAGAGATCACAACCCCGAGAACGAGGGCAGACCCATGTTGGCCCTCTCCTCACTCCATCTTCCTGGAGGGAGGCTGGGGTCAGGAGTGCTCTGCTGTATGTCACCTCCACAGTCCCCTACTCTTTGAGCCTCAGTTTCTCCAAGTGCACTTTCCACCTCCCAAGGCAGCACTTCATCCCCATGGCACATAACACTGCCATTCACATCCTGAAAGCAGGACATTTAGGCTGCCTCCTACGATAACTGTGATGCCATGACATTTACCCCATGCTGGTCACCATGGAGATGACCCTACACCAAACAGAGGGATACGGGCAGCTGGGAGTCACCACATTGGGCAGTCCTAGTCTCCCACTCCATCCTCTTCAAGTTGCAGTTATACCCCAACTTGGGGCTGGCACCTCAGAATGTCAGGTTTGGAGACCTCCCACCAAGCCCAGTCACAAGGCACTTACCAGGGTTTGTGGGAGTCACCAGTGGGGCCGGGCAAGGGGCCAAGTGCCAGTCTGAAGAAGATAAGGGAGGGCAAGCTTTTTCTTTTTTAAATTTTTAAATAATGACTTTATTTCACTTTATTTATTTATTTTAATTTTATCAGAGAGGGATAGAGCAAGAGAGCGAGAGAGAGATAGAGAGAAAGATGGAAAGTGAGAAAGCAAGCCACCAGGTCCAGGACTCGAACCACAGTCTGCTATGTGGGAGTCCAGCACCCTTTACCACCACGCCACCTGCCAGCCCCGAGGGCAAGCTTTTGATCCAGGTTCTTGGGGTCAAAGTGAGGGACTCAGCCTGCTTAGGGCGAGGCAAACACCCAGCAGTGGTGGTGGATGCACCCGGCCACAAACCTGGCCCTGCCTTGACACCTCATGCTTCACGGCACCTGCCTCACATCAGTGCTCACAGCCCCCAGTAAGCTAGTCCATTGTCATCTGCACTCAACCGATAAGGAAACCGAGGCTCAGGGAGGAGGGTGCTGGCCAGGGATCAGTAGCCTGGGGGCTGGAAGCACTTCCCGGATACCCAGGGCCCCTTGTCCAGCCTAGTGCCTGCTTGCCCCCTTCAAAAGCAACTCAGGTGCTGAGCATGCCAAGCAGGGTGCTGAGCCCAGGAAAGGGTGGGGAACAGCCCCCCATGGGAGAATCTCAAGTTGTCAAAATCAGGTATTTTGCATCAGCCCCTTCAGCAAGGCCTGGGTTCTTCCTGAAATCAGCTCCAGGACCCACCTATCAGAAACCAGCAGGAGCCTTCTACCTTCTCTGAGCCTCACAAGGAGGCAGGGCTCTGAGGATTCCTGGGAACTCAGGGATGGGTTCTATCAGGTTAGGACAGAGTGCCCTGCCCCTGATCACAGGGTCCAGTGGGCTGGGTGGTGGCCCCTGAACCTGTGACTGTGACCTTATTGGGGAAAAGAGCCTTAGTAGATGTAGTTAACTGGAGGATCTCGTCCTGGATTAGGTGGGTAACCCCAACATCCAATAACCAATGTCCTTATAAGAGAGAAGGAAAGTTACATGTTGGAAAAGGCCTGCACAGACAGAAGAGATTGGCACGATGCGGCCACGCCAGGGGATCCGGTGTTTGCTGGTCACTGCCAGAAACCAGAAGAGGCAAGGAAGGAAAGAGAACTGCCTCTAAACGGGCACCTTGCCTTTGAACTTCTGGCCTCCAGAACTATGAGAGTACATTTCTGTTGTTTCCAACCTCCTGGTGTGTGGGACTTCACGGGGGCAGTCCCACACGGACACTCGCCCCAGCCCTCTCCCAGCATGAACCACAGGCTTCCACGGAGTCTGAGCCCACGTCCTGGCCATGCTGGTCAGGGCCAGGCTGCTCCATGAGGCTGCATCTGGCTGGGTGGTATCCCCGGGCTTGCCTCTCCGGATGACCACAGCCTGCCTGGCTCACCACTTCTCACCCCTGTGTGCACACTCCACCAGCCCAGCATGCCGCCCTGGCTCACACCCACTGCCATTGCTGGTCCTATCTCCTGGCTTTTGATCTACCCTCTGGCCTGACCTTTCGTGGTGCAACCAGGCCATTTCCACCACTGAGCAGAGCGAGGCTATTTCACTGCTGAACAGATGGGGTGATCCCTGCTTTCTGACCTAGGCCTCAACTCTGAGCCTGTTCTGCAGAAGCACCTCGCCCCATACCCGGTACCTGCAATCTCCTCCACTGGGAATGAATGTACCCACATCCTTTGAGGACAGAACTGTCTAGAACCTTGCCTCTTCTCTGAAATCCCCAAGTCAATGGCACAACCCTGCTCACTAGTATCACACATGTTCTAGCCCTCTCCATGGGTTCCTTGAATCCCCAGGACCCACGTGCGTACCCAAGAGGGGGAGAGATGAACAGACAGATGGATTGCCATGTCCACATCCCCAACATGGCTGTAACCAGCACATCCCTCAGAGCGAATAATTTGTGATTGAGAACTAATCTGAACTTCAACAAGAGAGTTTTGAAGAACTGGTGTCCAACATGGCTGCAGCCAAGGCCCGTCATGCCCCAGGACCTCTGTGTAGTGAGATAAGCTCAGGTTGGCACTGGACAAGCCGTGTGAGGCTGCTCA